TATCAAATATAATTTTATTTCTCATATTCGTTCTCTGACTTGCAAGATGGTATCAGAGCCATCCTTCAACCGTACCTTTGAATCCCTTTGAACTGTATCTTTGAAATTCACTGAACTATACATTCAATATCATAGAAAAACATTGATATTGGACTTTTGTTTATTTTACATTCACCATCATCAGTACTACCAATTGGTATTGGACTTTTCTTTTGCCATTGACTTCGAGTGTATGCATATTCCAGAATTGCTTGTCTTTTACTTGTAATATCATAATAGAAAAACATTGATTTGAAATCACGAAATAAAAGATCACCACCACCAGACCCACAGACTGTCACCTTGCCCCTGCACTATATCCACAACAGTTGGCTACTCTCCAAACGACGACAATGTCATCACGAACGAAGCCGCTGCCAAATCTGCCATCCGTCATCCGCCGCGGTCTGATTCAGCCGAAGCACTGCTGAGGCGCTGTCATCATAGCAGAAGCACTGCCTAACCACCAGCAGAATTAAGTTCTTCTCTGCACCGGTTCTTCTTCGTCGTCGCCGGATCCTCTTTGCTGTCAGTCATCACAAAGTCACACTGATGGTGACGTTTCACCATTGATGCCGCCGACCTTTAATAGCATATTCATGTTTTTTCCTTTTTAGTTTGAAGCCAATTTTTTTTTTTTTTTTTTTTTTTTAGTTTGGTATTTGTCTATTTAAAAAAAAAAAAAAAACCTGGTATCATAGTAATATTGGTATCAACAGAAAAAAAAAAAAAAAGAAGAAGAAAAGAAAAAATGAGTGAAAAAAATATTGAATCTTCTGAGACAAAATTAGTTCCTATTTTTGTTCAATCTCAAAGTTTTTTTTAATGCAGGGATTAGTCTTACTGACTCAAATTCTGCCTCTGAAGCTTCAGTTATGATGGCTCGAAACCGGTTTAAGCAAAACTGGCAGGACCATACTAAGCCCAATCAACCTAAAGCCACCAATGGTACAGACAAGTTTACCTACAAATGCACCCATTGTAACCAGACTGGTCATACCAAAAGTTGTTGTTTCAAACTTGTGGGATATCCGGAATGGTGGGATCATAGCCGTTGGAAGAAGACTTTGATGAAGACCTCCACTGCAGCAGTTGTTAAGACAGATGATGATGGTGCTGCAAAGGCCTTGGGGTTGGTAGTAACTGCAGATAATGGTGGTAAGGTTTTAAATATTTCTACACCTGTTGCTAATAGTGCATGGATAATTGATTCTGGTGCCACAGATCATATGACATTTGATTCTAGATAGGTCTCACATCTTCGTTCATCCTCACAAAAAGTTGTTTCTACCGCCAATAGTACTTCGGCCCCAGTTATTGGGGAAGGATCTTTGACACTCACTGATAATTTGTCTTTAGATTCTGTGTTAGTTGTTCCATCTTTAGATTATAATCTTTTGTCAGTTCCCAACTAACCACAGCCTTATCTTGTGTTGTAATTATTTGGCCTGATTTTTGTGTGTTTAAGGACATTTAAACAAAGTAGACAATTGATTGTGGTATTAGGCGAGGGAAGTTATATTACTTGGACTTGATGTCCAAAAGTTCTGATAAGTTATGACAAGCATTGACAGTGGATGGTTCTGAGTGGGAGAAAAGAAATCTGAAATCTGGTTATGGCATCGACGTCTGGGGCATGCTTCCTATGGCTATCTGAAAAAATTATTTCCTAGTTTGTTTGCAAAATTTGATATTTCTAGCTTCCGCTGTAATGTTTGTGAACTAGCAAAAAGCCATCGGGCTTCGTTTCCATTATGTTTGACTAAAAGTCTACTTCCTTTTATGGTTATACATTCTGATGTTTGGGGTCCATCCAAAGTCCCTACTTTAGGTGGATCACGTTGGTTTGTTACTTTTATTGATGACTGTACCAGGATGACATGGTTGTGCTTGATGAAGTCCAAAGGTGAGGTGAACTTATTGATTCAAAAGTTTCATAAGATGGTTGAAACTTAATACAATGCACATGTTCAGATTCTCCGTAGTGATAATGGTGGAGAATATCAGAGTTTTGACCTTCAGTAGTATTTGGAAGCACATGGAACTATTCATCAAACCACTTGTTCCCATACACCCCAGCAGAACAGGGTTGCAGAGCGAAAAAATTGACATTTGTTGGAGGTTGTTCGTGCTTCATTGATAGAAGCTCATATGCCATTATCATATTGGGGAGAAGCACTTACCTCTGCAGCATATCTAATTAATCGCGTACCTTCCAGCTCTATTGACTTCCAGACACCATTACAGGCTCTCACTGACGCAGTTGTTGCCCCAACCGTTTCAAATCTACCTCCTCATGTCTTTGGTTGTGTAGCATTTGTGCACCTCCATAAGCATCAACGCAACAAGCTAACTCCTCGAGCATTGCGATGTGTTTTTCTCGGATATGCGACTCATCAAAAGGGGTATCGCTGTTATCACCCTCCAACTCGACGCATGTTTATCACACTGGATGTTGTTTTCCATGAAGACTCGATATATTTTTCCTTTGCGTCTGAACTTCAGGGGGAGTACTAGAAAGAAATTCAGACTTTAGATTATGATTATCAGACTATAGATTATGATTACCACACTTTTGAGTCCGGTGATTCTAGTAGTGATGGCTCACAAGTTGGACCAGCCAATCAGGAATTAGGCGAATTGGATTCGAGTGGTATAAGTTTGGATCACAATGGTAATGAACGCCCAAAAATGGAAAGTATGGCGCCAACCCCACCGTCGTCCAAGTTTGAGTCCCTCGCAACTAATATATCAAACCAATCGCCTGCTGATGATGTTCCTGATTTTGTGCCTGAGCCACTCAGAAAACAATTACCATAGCGTCACACTAGAGGTATTCCTAAACCCACATATGAACCCAAACTTTCTAGTAAAGTTAAGTATCCCACGAGTCATTATGTCTCGAACCATCGTTTGTCAAAATCAATTTGTCATTTGTAAATCAATTATCTACTGTATCTATTCCTAACAGTGTGCAGGAAGCCTTAGTTGCCCCTAGGTGAAAACCAGCTATGAACGAGGAGATGAAAACCTTGCAGAAAAATGAAACTTGGGAACTCATTGATCCTCTACCAGGAAAGAAACCAGTTGGATGTCGATGGATTTACACTGTGAAGTATAAAGTCGATGACACAGTTAAAGGCTTTAAAACAAGATTGGTGGCAAAAGGTTACACCCAAACCTATGGAATCGATTACACAGAGACGTTCGCACCTGTAGCCAAAATCAACACAGTTCGAGTTTTGTTGTCTTTAGCTGCGAACTTGGATTGGCCATTGCAACAATTCGATGTGAAGAATGACTTTCTGCATGGTAAATTATCTGAAAAAGTCTACATAGATTTCCCACCAGGATGCATGATACCTGGAAAAGTATAGTAGAAAGGTGTGCAGGTTAAAGAAATCATTATATAGGTTGAAACAATCTCCGAGAGCATGGTTTGGAAGATTCACAAAGTCTATGATAGCCTTTGGCTACCGTCAGAGCAATTCTGACCACACGTTATTCCTGAAGAAACAACAGGGTAAGATTACTGTACTCATTGTATATGTAGATGACATGGTGGTTACAGGGAATAATCCTGAAGAAATAAAGGCTCTCAAGAAGTACTTATCCAGAGAATTTGAAATGAAAGATCTAGGTCCTTTGAGATATTTTCTTGGGATCGAATTATCTCAATCTAATAAAGGAATCTTTCTGTCACAAAGAAATATGCCTTAGATCTGTTACAAGAAACTGGCATGACAGCATGTCAACCAGATGAGACACCAGTGGAAGAAGGACTGAAGTTATGTGTTGAGTACAATCAAGTACCTGCTAATAAAGGAAGATACCAAAGACTTGTAGGGAGATTGATGTACTTAGCACACACGATACCGGATCTGGCTTATGCATTGAGCATTGTTAGCCAGTTTATACATGATCCTAGAGAACAACATATGAATGTAGTTATGCGCATTCTGAGGTATCTGAAATCTGCTCCTGGAAAAGGAATTTTGTTAACTAAAAATACTGGTTATCAAAACATAGATGCATATACTGATGTTGACTGGGCTGGAGCTATAGATAATCGGCGATCTACTTCTGATTACCTTACTTTTGTACGAGGTAATCTTGTTACATGGAGAAGTAAGAAACAGAATGTTGTTACTCATTCGAGTGCAGAAGCTGAATTCAGAGGTATGGTGCTTGGACTTTGTGAAGCATTGTGGTTAAGACTTCTCTTGCGGGATTTGGGTTATCTACCTGGGCAACCTATTCAACTATATTGTGACAACAAAGCAACATGTGATATTGCCCATAATCCAGTTCAACATGATCGTACGAAGCATGTCGAAATAGACAGATTCTTCATTAAGGAGAAGTTGGATGAAAAAATTGTGGAGTTGCCTAAAATTCGATCTGAGGATCAACTAACTGACATTCTCACCAAAGCAGTTTCAAATCGAGTGTTTTCAAAATTTTTAGATAAGTTGGGCATGTGTGACATCTATGCACCAACTTAGGGGGAGTGTTGAGATTTTATCCGGAATTATACGGATTGTACAGTTATAGGATTAAATTATTTACTCCTTAATTTAGAGTTAATTAGTTTCCCAATTATTGTATAATTAGTTACCCATTTTAGTTAAGTCTTGATCTATAAATTGAATGTAACACCACGAATGAATATATCAAATATAATTTTATTTCTCATATTCATTCTCTGACTAGCAAGACACTCACATCACAACTTGAAATAGGAAGTTTTTAAAAAAATTATCTTATACTTGTGAGACGGAAAGACCCCCATGTACCCGTGGCAAATTTCCTAATATTTTAAAAGGTTCGATGTCACCGTTATTGGAAAAAGAAAACAAAAGAAAAGCAAAGCAAAGAAAAAAAAAAACTCAAAATAAGTAGTAATTGTTCTAGTAGTTAAATAGTTGGCCTGACCCGACTTAGTGTTGTATTTGCAGCTCACCGACCCGCATTTACAGCTCAGGTTAGCTTCCTCCAACAACCCTTTTTGGCGGAGCTTTCAATCTCTCAACACCCTCGTTTTCATCGACACCTCCCTTATTTCCTTCTTCAAATCCCCACTTTTTCCAATTTCCCCCTACTCTCCCTCTCTCTGTTCCACTTCTTTCTCTCTCTTCTGCATTTCGAAGGTATGATGCTTCCTTTACATTTTCTGTATATTCTATCGGATCTAATGGCACTACCCTCTCTACTTACTCTGTAAAAGCTCACTTTACTTCTGAATTTCGACTTGGTTTTTCAGGCATTTGATCCCAAAATGGACTCCGCATTGACCTTTTGCAGCAAATCTGTTTACTCACCTTCACCTCCCGTAAGTATCTCCGTTTTCTGGAATCATTTCTGCTCCTGATTGTTATTTATGTTTCTAGTTGCTTTTTTTTTTTTTTTTTCATTCAAAGTTCCTTTTACTTCGTTAATTGATTGTTCTTTAGCAGCAAGCAAGTTCTTACCCAGTTCTTTCTTTCTTCTCTATAGGATCGTGTGTGTGTTTATACATATTTGCATGTATGTTTATTAATTGATTTTCTGAGTTTACATGGGTTATGTTACTTCACTGATTTCTTGATCGATTTTGGTTGGATAGGGTTGCTAGGTTTGGCAGAAAGAGGGTTTATTTTAGGATTATCCCAAATTTTATACAAGTTCCTGATTTTCATTTTCTTTTCATGGGTGGTTTTGTTTTTCCTGGAAGATTAGAAAACTCTTGTGAAACAGTGATATGTATGTGAACTCTGTTAAATTGTAAGCTACAAACACTTAATCCTGCTAAGTATGGTAGCTCCCTATTAGGATAGAAGGTGCAGGTTTCAAGTCCTGGTTTGTGCATGGGTGATCCGGAGCCTTTTCTTTGGGCTTATAGGGAAAAAATTACCAAAAGGGAAAAATAATCTAGCTGTAATAAATATTTGAAGACCGTTCTATTTGTTCTATAGTTTCAATTATAATGGAGGGCTATAGCATATTGGTGTAGCCATCATAAAGTGAATCAGATGTTCGTTAATTCAACCAAAATTGATATTCAGAACTGGACTTGAAAATCTGGAAAAGTTAAAATTTTATGGCCATCATTATGATTTTATTTTTTTGGAAGTTGGAACCACATGATTCTAAATCATATGGATGCAATTATCATAATAGACTTTTTTATTTTTTATTTTTGACACAGCCATTGCCTAGTTTTAGAAGATTTTGTCATTTCTTTGATGATTTGTTGGCTGCTTGTTCCTCTCTCTCTTGAGTAGGTCAAATTCAGTTGTTTTACTTATGTTTCCGTTAATTATTCTTGCTCTTAATTAGTTTTACAAGTTCAAATTGTGGGTTAAATGAGTCTACTCCTTTATCCCAACTATTTGAGGTCGGTGATATGAATCTTATTTAGTCATTTTGATCTTCGAAGGCAATAAATTCAGTTAAATTACATGCTACTACATCTTTCCATACTATCTCAACCAAGTTCAAATATTATCCTCAATGCGGACCATGTCACTTCTCCTCACTGGTGAAATTGTTGCTCATTGTGCCAATCCTATCTTAGTTGGTTTTCCCTCATTTTATTTCCAATAGGTATTACTTCCATTGTTTAATGGATGGTTTCATTTATGATTTTATTCATCCTTTTTTTATAACAAATTTATTTCAACATCTACATTTTGAACACGGTTATTTTATGATAAGTTGTTTTCAGCTGCCCAATATTTTGTTCCATAAATTATGGTTGGTCTAATAGATATTTTATAGAATTTACGTCTTTCGCTTTAGTTGGTATTCGTCAATCACATAATATGCCAGAAGCACTCATCCACTAAGGCCATCATGCTTTGAGTCTATGAGTAACATCACCTCCAGTTTCTCCCTCCATGTTATTTAATCAAGCTCAAGTAGTCAAGTAGCAAAAATTTTATTTTGGTACATGTTGACCCTTGATATTGACTATTTCCCCATTTGTATCTTTAGTTTTGTTAGAATTACGTGTTTGTCTTATTTATCTTAAACCCTTCTTCTTAATTGTAGAGCTTTGTTCCAAATTTTTTAATTCAGATTTTTTTACTATTTGGTTTGTTTAGTTTCATCAGTCACAACTATCGTCACTAGTTACCATGGAATCATTTTCTGGATGTGTCGGGTTAGTTCATATGTAGCTAAGGCAAAAAGATAGGTGCTTAGTGCTGATATTTGATTGAATCCTACCATGATTGAAAATTGACTTGTTTCTCCTGCGGTTTCTTTTTTTTTTTTTTTTTAGAGCTTTGCTTTCATCATTCAATTCCTTTATCATATCAATATATCTGTTAAATACCCATTTGTTTTTTACAACCAACCATATTATATCTTTAGGCACTTTTGTTGGTCTCGTCACCAAGTAGTTAGCTGCCAGCCTTCCACTATTGACCATTCTCTATGAATCCAAATTGATTTAGACATTGTTGTTTCAAGTTAGAGTCACCAATTTGTCTTCTTTGTTAGCATGACACATTAATTTAATATTTCAATAAATTGCAAAATTGATCATCCCCCTTATCTTTATGTCATATTTATGTGGGGTGCTAGGTGGTGAAGATTAGGTACAAACCTTTTTTTTTTTTTTTTTTTTTATAAGTAAAAAAAAAAAAAAGGGCTTCCTTTCTAATAAATGGCTGCTCTTTTAATTTGAACATGTGCCTTCGCACTTGTTAGCCCAAGATTTTATCTTATATATAAGTACCCAAATATATATATATTTTAAAACCTTATGAAACAATTTTGTAAGCCAAGGCAGGTTATCATCCTAAACACTTCTATGTCTCAATAGGAGTGCTATTCGGTACTAAGACCTTTTTGGTTTTCATCTTCCACACCTTAATCCTATGAAACATTTTATTTTTTCTGTACTTAAGGTAATCTATTCTTTTAAACCTTCTTTTTTTCTTCCCGATTTTCATTCAACTTCTCAAAGTAACTTTTCCACAAGCAATTAATTTATATTGTACAATTTCTTGAAGTCACTTTAGTTCTATAATTTCAATCTTTTGCCGAGACTTTTAAATAGTCGTTATATACTCTGTGTAATTAAAATCTCTATTTTTTTCTCTTCCTTTGCATCCATTAGACCTAATATAAACTATATTTCCTCCGAATACTACTTCTATTAATATTATCTTACCCTGCAATTACAACTACTTTTAAGTTCGTGTGTTGTAGGTAACTAATTTAAGCCTACCATTTTGGATCAGTTTCTTTACTTATGGTTGCCTAAAATAGCACCAGGAACCTTTAATCATTTTTCACCGCATTTGGTGCCCTTTTTACTCATTTATTGAAGAACCTGGGAGCTAATGGAATTCATAGCTTATCGAGAACACCTTTCTATTTACTCGAACATTTTCAGTATTTATATCCCTAAGGGGTTTAAAGAAGGTTCACGTTATGTGTAGCTATCTAATGTAAACCTACTTTATTCTGGGTGAACCGCCTGAGCAAGAATTAAACACCACACAGGCATAGTTCAGTGTTTTTATTCATTTCTGATAATAGGAGGCATTAATTCAATCAACCCATTTGCAGAATATAAAGTGGATGAATAAAAAATTAAGAATCTTGATAGCGTCTCTCTCCTTCGGACACCCAATCATATTGTTTTCCAAGAATATTGAGCCAATTGTCTGGTTCAATCATGAATGCATGCTAGTTGGGCCCTTGGTTGTGCTTAAGATGATGTCGCAATACATCTGGATACAGTGAAGACAACAACTACAGTGGTATTGTAATATTGACAAAAGTGAATAATGCTATTTTCTAAAAGGATTCAACACATCTTTGGAGAAGAACTTATAAGCTTGGAAAAGATGATGTCAAGAGTTCCCTGAGGATTTCTATTTGTTTCTTCTCTTTTTTGATGTGATTTTAGTTGTAGATCACAGGGAGACTAGTTATCTGGGATAACTTATTTATATTCTTGGATTTTAGCAAGTTTACACCATAGCCTACTGTTCAATGGGTCCACAACATTATGGTTGAGATAAGAAAGCTAATTGATTATGGTACAGATGCAAGTTGAACTAAATGCCTCTGTTCTCATATATTTTAGTTTATCCAAATGGTCTTTTTGCCCAAACACCCTAGTTTTAACACACACACTCACACACATATGTATATACACACATATGTAACATAACGTATCGTTAAAAGGTGCCAAAAAGGGTAGCTAGCCAGTAAGGTAAATCTGATTACTTTTTACGCATTGAATTCCATTATATGTGTGGCCGTTTTTATCCCATTTTAACTAGATGATCTTGCAGTTAGTTCTTTACAATCTTGTCATATGCATTTGCAATACAGTTTCCATGTTTGGCTTCCTATTTGATGCACAATAGCCTTGTGGTTTGAAGATCTTATGAGTTAACTATATCTGTAATGCAAGGGTTTATTTGTGGAAAGGGTTCGAGGGATTAGGAGCTCCAGTTGTAGTTTTATGTTGGGAAGTAGGGTAAACTTCCCTCGGCAGAGAGCTTGGGCTTCTCAAGTTAGTCACAAATATGGGAAACGTGGGGGAGCCCTCAATGTTACATGTCGTGCTGAGAAGATTCTGGTGGCAAACAGAGGAGAAATTGCTGTTCGTGTGATTCGAACTGCTCATGAGATGGGAATACCTTGTGTTGCAGTTTACTCAACCATAGATAAGGATGCACTTCATGTCAAACTGGCTGACGAGGCAGTTTGCATCGGTGAAGCACCGAGTAGTCAGTCGTAAGTTGACAAAATTCTTGTGTAATTACTTGTTATAATTCATGAATTATTGCTATCATTGTAATTTTTTGTTTTTGTTATTATTGTTATTATTATTATTATTTGGTTAAAATGACAATTATGGAAAGGTGATGAAAAGTACAAGTGGAAGAGAATTCCTTCCACATTATCCTCTTCAGTATCATCAACAATAACAAAGCCTTAACTCCTGGCTCTTTGGGGCCGCTACATAGATCTTGTTTCACCACTGAGCTCTATCTAAGGATTTCATGATTCGATGTTATGTCACGCTTATTTAATTACTAGACTCAAGAAACATTTTAGGCAATCTGATCCAAGTAGGTCTTTTGTTGAATTCTTCTCTGGTAAACCTCATGTGAGGTTGCCAAATCTCAAGAACAAGTAGTTTTGCTGCAAAGTATTTTGCTGTCAATTTTCTGGACGGTTCTTCAAGCACAGTAGAGATTTTAGAAAATAAAGATCTGTTTTCATTCTACATTATCTATACCAGATTGGCCTCTCACAGTAGATGAGCAACCACTTTTTTCACTAGGCTACATGGCAATTTCTTCTCCAGAACACATCAAACTAAACATCCTCCTCACCTTTCCATTCAATTGGTGTGAACCTCTGTAGGTGGTTGTTTCATACTCCATCCCTATCTCGCTCAGGTTCAGAAAAGCAAATATCATCTTTGCATTTATTTATTTATTTTTGTTATGAAAGATATCATCTCCATTTTTTGACCTTGAAGTATCCATATTCAATTTATGGTTGTTTGCTTTGCCCGACTGGGGATTTTGTTGTTGCTTCCAATGCTTGTTGAGAATGATTGAGTGCTTCTCACTTGTAAGAATTTTTACCATGCAAACTGTGGATATAGTTCCAACTTCAAGAACTTTATCTTTTGGTATAATTTGAAGGAGAGGCTTCCAAGATTACTTTAATTGAAAGGTGTGGTGCTGAAGTTGATGTCTTTTTATGTAGCTTATTTGGCTTCTGGGTTAAGGACTTCCTTAGGAGTTTACATTTACTTCTTAACATGTCTGATTCCTCTTACCAAGAAGTCAGAAGAAGGTATTTGTGTCTCTTCCTGATATATTTTTTGTCCTCAAATGTGATAGCCATATGTTCAGTAGCAGTCTTGTCACATGCTCCTTGGCTCGGTAGGTATACTTTCCATTCTGTTGCTCATAATTCTTTTTGAGCACTCATCCATTGTTCTAGAATCTAGATGTTGTGGTAATGTAGGTGGCGTTGAACTTCTACTCTTTCTTCAACCATCATCTTAAACAACTAGACGTTTCGACAATATATTATATCATTGTTGAAGGATTTAAATATTTAAGTTACACCCTCTCTAATAATTTAAGCTTTTGGAGTAGATGGTGGTTAACATGGTTTCAGAGCAGTCCTGATAATTAAAATTGAAACACGTGTTGGACCAAAAAGAAAGCCACACATGAGGGGGCATGTTGAAGGATTTAAATATTTAAGTTACACCCTCTTTAACAACTTAAGCTTTTGGAGTAGATGGTGGTTAACAATCATGATGTGATTTGTTCAAATAGAATTAGTGAATTAACCCTTTTGTAGAAATTCTCCTGTAATCTATATTTAATATAATAATAGAATTGACTTGATTACTCTCAGTTGCTAGAATGATTAATAATGATGTAAGCCTACTTTTTGTTGTCTTCTTGCAGGTATTTACTGATCCCAAATGTCCTGTCTGCTGCTATTAGCCGTAAATGTACAATGCTGCATCCTGGTTATGGTTTCCTTGCCGAGAATGCAGTTTTTGTTGAAATGTGCAGAGAACATGGAATCAACTTTATTGGACCGAATGTAAGTACTTAATTCTTTATATATGAAATTATTGTGTATCTGATACTCGGGTAATCTGAATTGCAAAGTGAGTGTCTTAGTGATATGGCCACATAATTAGTCATTCTGTACACATTTGTTTTAGGGGGGGGGGGGGGGGGGGGGGGAGAACCATCCAACAAAATGCAACTAGGTGGTTTTCATATTTATCTGACCTTTTGATCAAACTATAGGAGAAGTTCTTTTAGTAGGTATACTCGAGTATATTTGCCTATACAGTCCAATATCCTGCTCAAACTATTGTAAAACTTGATAGAATTCAGTTCCAATCCAAATTATTATAATTAGTACACCAAAGCATTTTAAGAGATTTTTAGATTATGTCCATTGATCTCAGCGAGGTTTCTTAAGCATCTCCTATATCTTAAACTGCTTAATAAGAGGTGATTATTTATAGAATGTGATTTTGTCACACAAAGTTCTCCACTAGGTAGGTGCTTTTGGTAGGATATCAAACTGTTTCTAGTGCCTGTGTCAGCATCTCCTCTAAGTTGATCTTGACAATATTTGATACCATGATGGGAGATTCTTTTTGGATGGTTGAAAGGGAGAAAGAGAAGGTGGAAAAGAAGAGCGAAAGAAAAAGACCAACAGAAGAAATTAGCCTGGATGTTTAATGTTATCTTCAATTTTATGCTCAATGGAAAAGATTGAGTTTGATGTGACCATAATTTGCTGTCAAAATGCTATGCTTTCCGCTGTTTGAACATGATAAGCGATGAATCCTTTAATTATCGAAATTCTTTTATATTTTAGCTAATAAGTGATGAATACGTTAATCATCAAATTTCTGGTACATTTTAGTTGACAGAAATTTTGGAAGTGCCCAGTTATTTTATCTTAAAGAATCCATATACCTGGCGGCATATTTGGATATCTGATTTTATGATTTTGCAGCCTGACAGTATTCGTGTAATGGGTGACAAAGCAACTGCAAGAGATACGATGAAGAAAGCTGGTGTTCCAACTGTACCAGGAAGTGATGGATTGCTGCAGGTATTAGGCTGAATCAATATTTTAGGCAACATGAGCCAAGCATCATTATGACCAAGGATCAAAATTTCTCACTTCAATTTTCCTTTTGATAACTACTGATGTCATTGTAGAGCACTGAAGAAGGAGTTAGGCTTGCTGGTGAGATCGGTTTTCCTGTGATGATCAAGGTAAATAGTCTCTTATTTATAATTCAAACCTTTCATTCCAAAACTATACGTTATTGCAATACAGACCCAGATATGCATTTCTATTTTCTTAGTCAAACTAGCTATATGCAATCAGGTAAAAAGATTCAGCAAATCCTTGCACCTACTTCTAACTTCAAAGATTGATGCAATATGGCACTATAGAAAATTTATTTAACCTGCCATTATTTATTTTGTGGCAGCCATGTTACTTTACTGTCTGGTGCTGCCTTTAGGAAATAGTGAGCTTCACTATAATAAATCACAATAAAAGTATGGCAGCAATAGCATCCTTCCAGCACATTCTTATTAGTAAGCTTGAAATTGCAATGGAATTTCTGTTGTCAAATTTCACCACATGTAAGAACTTTATGCTTTTAATACTCCTTTCAATTATAGTCACCTACTTGTGGAAAACGACCATGGGAAGCTAAACTTGTATAGGAAAGTTCAAGTTATTAGACCAGAAATCTTGGCATATAGATACATATTTTAGGTAAAGTAAATCTTGGCATATATTGCTAATGCATTTGAGCACCTTTCTATGCTTGTTAAACATCACTTGGTCTCTTAATCCCATGGATTGGATTCTAGAGATATATGAGGAAACTACACAGATTAAATTACTAAATAGTTTGTTCCTTCTCTTAATTATTTAGGTGGTGTTGGGGAAATCTTTGAAGGATTCAATGTTCAATCTGTCAACATACAGTAGGATAATAATTAAAAAAAAAATCTGATGTTAAATTGAGCTTTCAATGCAATGCAGTTGAATGTTATTTCATAGTTGTCAATTTGACCATACTGAATTGACTTATCCATTTGACTTGTGTAGCTTTTGAGGGACGCATTCCCCTTTTGATTGCTTTTTACACAATATTTACTTTAAGCTATAGGGAATTGATTGGAAAGTAAACGATATCTTGCAATCTTAAAACACTTGGAGGTGGACTTGCTGTTGAAAGCTTACATTTTCACCTCTCTTTTTATTAGGCTATCAAAATGATCATAAAAGAAAATTATATCTATAACTGGATAAGGGATAATTGAACTTAAGAAAATTTTATTCTTTGCAGGCAACAGCAGGTGGTGGAGGCCGTGGAATGCGTCTTGCTAAAGAACCTGACGAATTTGTGAAGTTGTTACAGGTATTTCTCTTTCTGGAAGTTATACTTTTTGCACAATTTCTCTAATTGCTCCTCCTGTTGGTCCTTAATAGTTACCTTGCATCATTATTCATATTGTTCACCTATTGATATATAGTTTTTTTTTTTTTCCCAGTACTTGAATTCCGAGGAGTTCTGAAATTTCTGGGTTTCTTGAAATATGAAATTGAAGAATTATTATATATATATTCAAATATCTCTTTCTTGATTGCAGACCAAATTTTTAGATTAAGGGAAAGAAGGGTCATTAAAACTACATTGGATACGCCGATGACACAATATTTTGGACGTACTCTTTTTCTTCTCTTTGTGAATACTTGAGCCTAAGTAGCAGAAATGTTTGCTTTATTGTAACTTTTGGCCTTCAATCTTTTCCGCACACCTATTTGTATTTCTAGATTTCCTAAAGCTACTCTACATAATCAGTTTTGTTCTTACATATCTTAAATTCTTTAGTTTAGAGCTTATTGTCAAAATTCCAATTTATCATTTACCCATTTTCTAGTATCATCAACTGAAATAATATCATCATGAAATAACATACACCATGGAAACTTATCTTGTATGTGTCTCGTCAGTTTGTTCTCATTAGTTAGTCCATAACCATGGCAAAAAGATATGAGCTTTATGCTGGCCCATGATATAAGACTATGATAATTGGAGATTCAGTTGTTTCTCCTACAGGTGTTCTAACCAAAGGTTCCATCATTCATGTCCTTTCTCATGTTAATATATATTTTTTGTGTCTCCTTCCTTTTCTAAAACTTTCTCATATATATATATATATATATATATATATATATATATATATATTTATCTGACTCTAGGTACCATATAATCTAAGTCTCCAAAAATCATATGAAGGTCTTTCTTCTTCTCTCTATTCTTTCTATTATTCTATCAGACATGTAAATAGCCTCCATGTTTGACCTCCCCAGCATAAATCCAAATTTATATTGTGACACTTAAGTTTCCCGTTCCTTTTTGTTCAATCGCTCTAAAGTTTCGTAGCATGACTCATTAATTTAATATCACAGTATTTGGTACAATTTTGTATATTTTCACTGTTTTAATATATATGTACTAATTACTCTTGCGCCACTTACCAGACATTACCTTAATTATTATTTATCTTATTAAACAATTTTGTTAGACAAGACAAGCCACCATCTCGTAAACACTTCCAACCTCAATAGAAATGCTATTTAGTCTTAAAGGCTTCTTTATTTCATCTTTATTTATGCATTATTTTTTATCTTGCACTCCCAAATCCTGCCAAAAAAAAAAAAAATTATTTCCTGTCCTACCTAAAGTTACCATATTCTCTTGAGCCTAAACTTTCTAGATGATTCTCATTTAACAATTTCTCAAAGTAAATTTTCTGTGTTTTTGTTTTATTTCAACATTTTTTGCCGAAACCCTTGAAATCTTCAATATTGATGCATTTAATATGATTAAAATTTCTATTTTTTTCTCTCCGTTAGTTTAGGAAGTTTATATCTATTTTTCTTCTCTTCTTTGACACCTAATTTAGAATGGAAATTGTTGTATGTCTTATGTTTAACTTCTCTCACTACTTTTTTAAGCTCCTTTTTGTTGTATTTATATCTTTCAAAAGTTTCTCTTCTAGTTTTTTTTGCCAAAGCTTATAATATTCCCTTTTTGTTCTTATGATGATTTGAATTTGTTCATTCCACCACTAAGTTTTCTTAGATGATAAACTTTTTTGATTCTCCAAGGACATCTTTGAATTTTTTTTAGTGCGTGCAATAATCTTATTCCACAAAAAATTAATTTCATCATTATTGCATGTGGCTTCTTTTAGCTTTCTATTGTTAAATAATTCTACTTTCTTCCCTCTAAATTCCACTAACCTGATCCTAGGTAAATACTCTCCTTTCTCCTTTCTCCTTTCTCCTTTATGATTTATATATATATTATAGGGTAAAATGCAAAAAAAACCCCTGAACTATGGGGAAACCTTCAACTAACCCCCTGAACTACCAAAAATGCAAGAAACCCCCTGAACTATGCAAAAAAGTTGCAAATCACCCCATCCGGCCAAGGTCCAGTGAGATTTAGCCGTTAAAATTTGTTAAATTATTTTAAAAGACCAAACTACCCTTAGAAGCATGAAAGGACAAGAGTGCCCTTAATTTCCAACTGTTAGACCCCAATATCCCAGTCCTGCAACAAAGCCAAACATGGCTTTAACCAAATTTCCCCAAATCACAAACTCTGCAACTGGCAGTGTTTTCTGTTGGTGTTCTTGGTGCTCAATCGACTGTTAATCTTGGTGAATGAACATCTTGCTTTGGGAGTTGAAAAATAACCCATCACTCATTGCTTGTGATTCTATACGTACATCTAAAACTCAAATCCTTGATTTAATTTCTTAATAAAAGTTGAATACACAGTTGATTTAATTGCCAAGAACTAATTAATTGTTGCGTTCAGATTCAGAAGCTGTATGGAGAATTTGCTACACTTTTCATGCTTGTTTGTGTACTGACATCAAGAGCTCAATGAAGCCAGGGTTAATATGTTTTGGAGACGAGAAACTGAGAACAAGAAAAAAGAAAAAGAATTAATTGGCTGAGGATCACTACAATCATATCATTCTTGAAAACAAGAGACAATGTGTGCCACTCATATCTTCAAACCCAAGTTTGATATCTTTTTGAAATGTCCCTGTATCAAAATTGTCAAAGCAAAGATAAAAGAAAAACAAGAAGAAGATTTTGAGAGCAGATAGGAATTATTGTCGAAATGAAGAAGAAGAAAAACACTGCATATGGGTTGGTCTAATTCGCTGGAGGCGAAGAAGATGAGTGATTCAGCTTCTGTTGGGGGAAGCTGCCGTTACGAAGAGGAGAGGAACGGAGCCGGACCAGTGCTGGGTTCTTGAGTGGCCGGATCCGGCTGGGGCGACAGTGACCGACTTTCTGTCTCTGCACTGTCACATATCTGCAATTGTCTTTCACCCATCTCATCTTCCTCCTCATAACTCTCATCTCTCTCTTCAACACCGTCACTTCCGAGTCGGACTCGGACAGAGTCGCCAACCTCCTCAACCTCCAATCCCGATCCGAATCCGGGATCATCTATCTCAACGTCCAACTCCTCAACCGCTTCATCACCTCTTCCAACCGCTCCTGCAACCTCAAGGATGATTTGCTTCAGATGGACGCTGGAGGCTTCTCTCGCTTGGTTGAGTCCATGGCCGAATTCATCGACTCCTAAACCAAGCTCACCATCAGTGTCTGTAATTTGGGGAAAGAGAGGGAAAAGAGAGATGACGTGGAGGGGGTTCAAGGTTTGATTTAATGACGAAGGTTGCTGTTGGTGAGGTGATGAATTTGGGTGGTAACACGGCTGGGCATAGATGAGTAGAGAGAGAGTGTTTTTGGGTCTGCAAATAGGAAGAGGGTCTGCAGTTGGTTTGATATTGTTTGCCAAACTGCGTCATTTTATTGGAAGGGCAGCTTTGTCTTTTTTCTTTTCCGGTGGCCTGAGTGGGCAAATTGCAACAAATTCAAGGGGGGTTTCTTGTAGTTCTGGGAGGTTAGTTGCAAAACCCCCATAGTTCAGGTTTTATTTTTTTGCATTTTACCCTATGTTATATATGTACTTTTAAATTGCTAGCTTATATTGTGATGTTAAACTTTCTTCTAACATAACCTAACATGTGATTGATTTACCTTTCTAGTTAGAAAAAGTCAATTTGACTCATGTTTGACCCACTTTTGAAGTTAATCAAATGTTCATCTCTTTCTCTAAAATAGGTAATTTCTCTCTTTCATGTATCCCTGAACTGATTAATCCTTATGTTTCGTAAATTATGCCTTAATGTGTTCGTCTAGTCCTGCTTTGGGTATAGTAGCATTAACTCTATTAATTTTATAGCCTCCTAATATAGGTTTTACTCTTATTATCCTGTCCTTTTATCTAATACTAGTTACAGCATATTTTAAATTCTTATAAATAATTATCTCTACTCGATTTTTTGTCTGTTTCAGTATAATGAAGTTTATATCCCCTGTTTTCGATTTCTCTAGCTTTTCCTCTTATTCACTCATTTTCTTGTATACATACTATACTAAGCTTCCTTCTAGTTCTAGTCATAGTGATGGAGATCCTACTGAGCCGTGTGGTCTACGTACTTATTATACGCATAGGCAGAGGATGATTTTTTTTTTTTTTTTTTTTTTTTTTTTGTGTATTTCTTATTTCTTTAGGGTTTTATTTTTGGTAGTAGAGTTTGATTAGGGTTTTATTTGATGCTTATATATATATATATATGTTTATATCTGCTTGTGACGTTCAGTAGATACTTTTGATGATGGAATTCATGCATAGTTTGTAGGGCAGGAAAAATCCACTATAATACCTTTTTCATCTCTTTTAGCTGATCATATTATAATAATTTCTTCCAAACAATTACAGAAGTATATACTATGAAGAGTTTGTATAAACTATTTAAGATTTTTTTTCTTCACTAAGTTTGGTACAATTGTTTGCTTTGACAGCAAGCTAAGAGTGAGGCTGCAGCTGCATTTGGAAATGATGGTGTCTATTTGGAGAAGTACATACAGAATCCGAGGCACATTGAGTTCCAGGTAATTGTCTCTATATAGAGTTTTGCACATTCGACTTTCATCTCTTTCTCTTTGCTTAGCGCATTGTTAAACTATGTTTTTAGATGTTACCGTGGGTCTCTTAAAGATTGCATTAAGATATGCTAGGAATTTAATCTTTCTTTTTTGGTTTCGTCGCATGTTTTCATATATTATAAGTTATTATTTTGATTTGCAAAATTGATGCTATGGTTCAATCCTGTCAATTTTCCATTTCAATGAATGGTTTGGGTCTAAATACATTTGGTTAGATTTAACTCATGAACGGATTTATGTTGTTACTTGTTTAGTTGTATTAACATAGTATTACATGCCAAAAACTTTAGTAATGTAATAAATCAGTTTTTTTAAATTCTCTACCACTTGACCCATTTTCCAATCTCCTGTTTCACCTTTAGTATACCAATGGCTTTACAGGTTCTTGCTGACAAGTTTGGTAATGTTGTTCACTTTGGAGAGCGTGATTGCAGTATTCAGGTATGCATAACCACTGACTTTTTACCTTTTCGTTTTACATAAGAATATAGCTTGCTTAATATTCAAGACTCCAAAATCTTTTGCTTTATTTTATTTTTATTTTTCTACTTGAAAAAGAGGAAGGTTTGAAGGCAGTGAGTTATCATTGGTTTTGAGTCTTAAAGCTAGGAACCGGAAGATTTGTATTCTAGCTCAATCCACATTTTGGAACTTGGTTAAAGACATGTAATTCATTGATGTAATTAGGAAGTTCAGGCTTTAAACCGAGTGTGCCACATAGAATCACTTCAGCATCATTTCTAATGCTCCTCATGAAGCTTAAGGTTCCAAACATTTTAGGAAGTTTTGATGAAATGATAACGCTCTCAAAATCTTTTATTCGAAAATTTTGGATGAGAATGTCCTCATGCAACATTAGAGATGACAACTGCTCCAAAGTCACTCTTTAACAGTGATTTGATGTGTCAACTTTTTTAGCAAATACATCGATATCTGTGTTTTGTGGGAACTTAAGCTAGAAATCAAAGTTAGATGATATTATTTCCTCCTTAAAGAATCCTAAATGCAGATCATTGTTAATGTCCATTAGACCCAAATCTTTGGCCAAAGCTCAAGGCTGGGCAATTTTCCATGAAAACTAATTCATGCCTCCTCTTTCAGAAGCCATGAAAAGAAGCCAGCACAGATCTTCCTTGTCCCTTTAGTGCCTCGCCAAGAATCTTTGGGCTGTGTCTGTGTGCGCATGCTGGACAGATATTCTTTGTGTTTCCTTGGTGGGATGGAGGTTTGTGCCAATAGGATAAAATAGGGGCATGGATGCAACTTTCAGTCATTGATCTAAGTAGTCATTTTTCAAATCTGCTGTGATGGATATTTGGTCTTCACTCTTCACTTAAATAAAAACATGTAGTTAACATCAGTTAACATAAAATAGTTCATATCTCGGGGATAACCTAATTGAGTTATTAATCCCCATCCACCCATGGGAGGAAAAAAGAAAATACAAGATGACCTAATTGGCCTGTACCGATCACTATGAAAATATAGGATGGGACAATTTCATTCTCATTTGTAATACTCTCAAATCCATCGAATGATCCTGCTTTCAGAAACCAATCATTAGGTGGTGTCTAGCAGTGTATGTGTCAGGCATTTTTCCAAATTGGTTTGAGCAAGCTTTCTCTATTGCTTTTTTCCAAATGGATTTGAGCAAGCTTTCTCTACTGCTGGCTAGGCTCTGTTTAGTCTAAGTTATCTAGTTTTGGATTCAGGACGAGCTTGGTAATCTTTCTGAAACTCTGGTGGCTGTGATTCAGCCCATCTTGGCTTGGCTCAAGTTTGTTTTCATATCTAAATCCTGGAAGATGAGTTAAATAACATGCCTAGTAGAGATTAAAAACTTCCAATATATATATATATATATATATATATATATATATATATATATATATATGCATATATAAAATTCCAGAAGATTGAGAAGAACAAAATGCCAAGTCGAGATCAAGCAACTCTGCAGCGTAGAAATATATATCAACATATATACTCACATATGTCATATTTGTGTAAGATTGCAGAAGAAACCTGATTACCATAGACATGTCCTCAAACGACAAGAGGAAATAGAAGGCTCTACTAATACTATAGAAAATATTTGCACAGGATTAACTATCTTTAGGAACATTCTGCACATCAGAAAGGGTCAATGATGAACTAGAAAGGGAAAAAGCACCAAAGAAAAGAAGATACTAGAAGTTGAAGCACTGCCGAAGGGATCAATTATAACCCTAACTAGACCAAAAACTATTGCATATTATTATATTACATCAACTAAAGTTAGAGAGAGAATGATTAGACAATTATATATCCCGACCCCGGAAATGATAAAATATACTAAAAAGAAAAAGAAAAGGAAACCCCTAACCAACAGGCCTGTGGCTTAGCGGTATCAGGCTCCTACTTCCTAAAGGGAGGTCAGGAGTTCGAACTTCAGTGGAGGCAGTGTGTGTGAGTTTCCCAACTAGGAAAAAAGATAAGGAAACCCCTATATCTGGTTAATTGAGCAGAGCTCAGCCTTGTTTCAATAACTAACGGAATTCAGAAGTGGAGCTTGAACTCAACTCATACACTAAAATAAACACGAACAAGCTCCAAATGAGCAGAGCCGCAAACTATTCATGGATAGCTTTGCTCATTTTTCAGTCTAATTTATGCTGTGCTAATCATAAAAAGAAAGAAAAAAAGGTTCATGATCAGTGCACTTTTTAAAAAGCTAGTTTATAGCAGCAACAGGATTATTGAACATGAAAAAAAGAAAAGAAAAAAGAGTCTTATCAAAAATGACTTGGCTGTTCAGAGAAGGAATCAGAAGCTGCTGGAAGAAGCTCCCTCCCCTGCTTTAACCCCCGAGTTGCGGAAAGCGATGGGTGATGCCGCAGTTGCAGCAGCAGCATCTATAGGTTACATTGGTGTGGGTACTGTTGAGTTCCTTTTGGATGAAAGAGGTTCCTTTTACTTCATGGAGATGAACACCCGGATCCAGGTGAAAAGAAAATGCTGGAGTTGTAATATTATTAGGTTTCTAGAAATATTTGATTTGGAGTTTAATGGTAAGTTATGTGCTTGCTGTTTTTTTGTTTTGGCAAAAATTTAGGTTGAGCATCCTGTGACAGAAATGATTTCCTCCGTTGACCTGATTGAAGAACAGATCAGTGTAGCTATGGGAGAGAAACTCCGCTACAAACAGGTTCTAAAATGGGATTCTTATGATACTTTAGGGATAAAATTCAATCTGTTACTTACCCAAAAAAACATAAAAATTTCAATCTGTTCTAATAATTTGCTACCTCATATCTACAGGAGGATATTGTGCTTAGAGGACATTCAATTGAATGCCGTATTAATGCTGAAGATGCTTTTAAAAATTTCAGACCCGGGCCAGGTATGTTTATGCATATCAAACAAATGGATGCTTTAATCTCCAATCTGGTATTATCTTGTTGGCCGGTTTGCATGGTGCCATATTTGGGTATGGATAGACGCAGCTGTTTTTTTCATTAGAAAACACAGACATGTGAAAACCTTAATTTCTTTTTTGACTGGACTGGGTCACCCATTCCAAAAAGATGTGTTAGAGCCCTAGGGTCTTGTTGCATGTGCTAGTTTTGCCCCTTCTGTTTGTATGCTTATTCCAATATCATTTTTAAATTTATTGCGGTACTCCTTGTGTCTGTTGAACGTGCGTAGTCTCTTTTATCTTCTTTGCTGTATTATCTGGTAATAGTAAGAATAATGGTCTCCAAGCTTTTCTGGAAACTAATATTCATGTTCATTTGGAATATTAGGAAGAATAACAGCGTATCTACCATCTGGAGGTCCATTTGTGAGAATGGATAGCCATGTTTATCCTGATTACGTTGTCCCACCAAGCTATGACTCCCTACTTGGAAAGGTTTGTCAAATTTTGTTTGTGTTTTGTTCACATGCAATATGTGATATTTTTGTCTTTTTTCTTTAATGCTTATGCATTTGTGATGTATGATGCATACATGGAATGCATAGATTTGGTTTAGTTAATTATCGAAAAAGGTGCTTGCAAGCTTTGTGTTTGTTTGTGTGGCCTTTATGTCATGCCATTATGTATGCAAAATGAATGCATTTAGAACTGTATGTGTAGTCTGTTTAGCTATCTATACTCTGTATATTTGTACCCATGCACAAATGGAAAGAACAGGAGCCATTGCTTTGCTTGCTGACTCCTAACATCTGTATAGTTGCACCTGTAGTTAGTAAAGGTGCCCTAAGCACCTAAATCTCCTGAACCTTGAGTGCAAGGTGTGGTAGGAATATATATTAAATATAACTACTATTGAAAAACATATAAACTATGCAACACAAACAAGTCAAAATAGAAGTGAGGGAACTTTTTGGTATATTAGCTAAATCAGTCTACTCGTATGCTTTCAAATCACATTTGCATTTAGTTAAATCAATATACAATTGAAACAATTCAAATTATTATCACAAAACTAGTCAAAGTTCAAAAGGATTTTTTTTTCTTTTAAATTTATTTATTGGCATATAAATCAAGAGGGTTAGCTATATTGATGTGTATATATCTTTCAATATAAAATATGCATCAACTAATGGCATTACCAGTGTGCATTAATAAAACGCTGCAGTTATATAATTTTTTATTTCACATTATATCATTATATATATTAAGAACCTAATACTAGACACATTTAACATAAGTAATGAACTGTAAGCATGTATTTAAATACCAAATATCACGATTAATAAATATGATCTATCAAATATAACCGTGATATGATTTATAAAAAAAAAATAAAAAAAAAATAGAAGTACAACCCTGATATGATATAGATCATGTTTATAGGAGAAAAAAACAGGTATTTCTTGAATGGTTAAAGTTAAAGGCAAATTTTCAGTTTGGAGCCTACTAGATAGTGTGTTTAAGGGCTTCATGTGCGCTTGATTGAAGGAGGTTCACCTGTAACAAGCTATGTTTACAGAATAAAGTTTGTAAACTTTTTGTTTTCCCCTTTTCGGGAAAGCATTAGAGTTCGTAAACTTGTTTGGTAATAAACAGATTTTATTTAGTTGCATTTGACTGGGCAATGAGTAAATATAGTAAACAGTAGAATAGAAATTAACATGGTGAATTTGTCTATTCTAAAATTGAAAGCATTGTAATTTACATCAATATAGATGTGACGGCAACTCCGTTAAATGGACTATTCTATTTCTCTCAATGTACTCTTGTCCGGCCAACACATGGGTATGAATATGGCATATGTATTTTGACACATATCCAAATTGGACATCTGAACCCTCTACATATGATGAAGTAAGGGAAAGAAAATTCAATTTTGATAGCAAAAATGGAATCCTTCATTTTCACCACATTCAATTTAATTTAAATTGTAATGATATATTTTAAAGAATAGTCGCATCATACATTACGCTATTATAGAGCATATGATGTATTTACATGTGCAAAACATGTCCATCTTCCCGTATCCAAGTTTTGGACACATTTCAATTAGGTCCATGTACAAAAGTCTAGGCATCGATGAATTGGATCTTGATCCAATAAGTCATATATGGATTGAAACATATAATTTGGCAAGTCATTTATGATCTGAATTGACAATATGTTGGATCAACAAATCAGATATGGGTCAGTCCAATCTAATAATCCGATTTCACATAGTGCAATATATAACATGTTATTCATATATTATTATCTAATGATATATTATATAATATTCTCATATTATCAAAGAAGATTCTTCATTCTTTTCTCTTCTTCCTTGTCGTTGTTTTTTCTCATTCTTTATTGTTTTTTCTTTCACAAAGAGTCAAATACCTAACTTCTTTTTCTTTTTGCCCATTTCTTTTGGCTTTAAATTTCTTGAAAAAAGAAATACATCTTTAACAAAGTGGGTTATTGGATAGGATATCTGAACATAACAATTAAGATATAGATTTGGTAATGAATAATTTGTTGGATTATTGGATTGGGTCTGATCGAGATATTTCTCACTGGATTCAGATATGGTCGAGCATGATTTGACCCATGATTGAACATGATCTGATCCGTTGACACGTTAACCGAACTCCATGTAATTTTCGACACAGTCACACCTGATACATGGACTTGGGTAATGTGTGTCAGTGTGGTGTGTCTTTATGTTGAATCATCAGATCCCGAAACCCAAGGATGCTGGGACAAGGCTAAATCTTCATATTAATTAATACTTTCTTTTACTTTTTAGAGTAATATAATGTTTTCACTTGTTTTGAAGCAAAATGGATATAATAAAAACGTTCTATGCATAATTTATATACTCCCTCCATCCCAGAGAAAGTGTCATTGTTTAGGACACCAGCACTTTTAGTAGACATGTATTTATGCATTGTCCGAATTACAAACTTAAAAAATTATATATTTAATTTATTGATTCAAAAAGATTTTCAAAATTCAAATAGACACTTGTTTTCGAACATCCCAAAAAAGGTATGTTGGACACTTGTTATAGGACGTAAGTAGTAATAAATTTGAATGATTGAATATGGTTGTTTGGTGCATTTCCATCCATGAGTGAAGACACATAATATCCCATCCCCATTTCTGAGTGTCACATGTCCAACAAGGATATTTCGTGCATTTTTTGAAGAGTACATTTAACATATGTAACATTGAATTGCAATCTCATGATTATTTTTTTGTTTTAAATTGATCCTTATAAAGTTTTAAAATGCGCATGAATATAGTACCAGTTTTTGTGGATTTATTTATAGAAAAATATAATCCTTGTCAGTTGGGCATTGGCCGTGTTCAAATTCAATGCATTTGATATGAGGACTTAATTTTCTGAGACTATTGTGTTGAAGTATGCATGAATATAGTTCTAGTCCTTGTTAGATTTATTTATTGGATGCCTATGATTTAAGAATTTGATTTTTTGAGGCTGTGTGTTGAAATTATGCATGGATATAGTTCCCTCTTTTCATTTTATTTTTATTTATTTTTGGGTCCAAATCAAATCCAAGTTTTAAATGATTCTCTTAATTTTTTTGGCATGTTATGTAGCTTATTGTATGGGCACCAACAAGGGAGAGGGCAATTGAACGTATGAAAAGGGCTCTCAACGACACTATTATTACAGGTATTGTGATAGTTTTTAGTTAAGATTGTGCCCTGAACTGTTGCTTGGTTTCCGTTTTTGTTCAACTCTGACCTCTCAGGGTAGGGTTGCAAGTGTTCCTCCTCTTTGGAGGGACGGGGGTTCCAAAGACTGAACTTTCTGTTTTGAGTTCTCCTCTTTTCATCTGTGCAATGTGCAAGAAGAAACAAAAACGTTAACCCTCAATTACAAAATGCACCTTAATTTTGAAGAATTAGCCTGGATAGGTGGATCCACCAAGTGTTACTTCTATACAGCTTAGCTCATCTTTGTTGTGATCCTGAAAGTTTCATTTGGTTGTTATATCTTATTTCTACTCAATATGTTTAAGTTCCAAGTACCAGGAGGTATGACTAACGTTCTTTTTGTCTACACCTCCTAGTAGCACCTTGAACCAAAAAGTACCTCATTGATGCTTCTAATGGTTTTCATTCACACTCAATTGGTGGCATCCACCTTTAGGTTCTCATCAATGCTTCCTTTCTCATCCCATTTTTATTTTGTTGTTGCCTGTATCAATGTTATCTTCTTGATTGTACAAACTTTTTTCTCAACAGCCTTGAACGTTCCCTACCACCTTCATCCTGCCGATCATTTTCTTTATATTAAACTAGTGTTTGTGCATATCCGCACATTTTTGTTCAATCTTTAGTAGTTTGAAATTCAACTTTATGTCATGATCTCGAGTGATTCCATGCAAGTCCTCTCTATCTCTATTTTTTTGTTTTTTTGGGTTTCTAGTTGTTTTATTAGTTGAGCCCTATAACAGAAAACCCGTCTTAAATAATTGGAAAAGGCTTTATTGAGTTGAATTATTTATCAGTCTGAAATAAATTATAATTTTTATGGCAGGGGTTCCAACAACAATCGAATACCATAAACTTATCCTCGAAGTTGAGGTAGGAAAATTTCCTAACATTGTTAACATATATTCTTATGTGGAAAATTATATTTGAGACAGAAGATGCTGATTTATCTAAACTTGTTCACATTTTCTCTACGTCACAGGACTTCAAAAATGGAAAAGTTGATACTGCTTTCATTCCAAAGCATGAACAAGAGTTAGCTGCGGTAAGGAAATGAATTTACACTACGGCTCCGTTAGTTTCGATGTAAAATATTTTTTAAAAAATATTTTTTTATTTTCTGGTGTTTGGTTGTCGTAAAATATTTACAGAGAAAAAATATATTAAAACTTAGCAAAAATAACTTACCCAACAATTTTTGGCAAGTTATTTTACGCACCCCGCCCGATGGACTCGATCTCAACCTCGACCTAGACTTTTACCAAACACCGAAATATAAAAATTTTAAAAAATATTTTACCTAAAAGAGGAAAATATTTTTCGAAGAGTATTTTATGTCGAAACAAACGGAGCCTACATGTTAATATTCTAGTTGAGCCTCCTCTTCTTTTTTTCTTTAAAAAAATTGTTACCATTTCAGTGTTTGGATATCATGAAATTAGGTTAGATGCAATTCAACTTGGTTTACATGTTTGGTCCTCCATTTAAATGTTAGAGTAGGGGCACTGTTTTCTGGTTCTTTATTACTCGAATCCATTTAAAAGTCCCCAAACCCTTAAGGTTTTCATGTTTTAGATTCTTATGGGTTGTGTCCTGCATTAGGATGTCCCATGAAAATTAGCATCTCTTGTGGCAGCCTTCTAAATCATGCCACATTGGTGATCAAAACCCTAGATTAGCTATAAGAAATCTGCTGGTTGTTTATCCTCCAACTTGAAATGCATAAACTGGAATGTGTTTTGAAGATGACTCATTTGTATTTCTTCCTGCAGCCCCAAAAGATGGTAGTAGCAACTCCTGCTAAAGAGCTGACCAACGCTGCTGCTTAGAGGGATTTGAACTGGTTTTTGATTGGGCAGCTGCTCTCGGCTCTGTCGGCAGATACAATTTTTCACTAATGAATATGTTAGCTTGGTCTCTGCATATTTTGTTCTTCCATGTTTTTGAATTACAAGGAACAATTAAAATCCTTCTTTCTAATGGCTGCAGTACGAGTTTCAATCTCTGTTGATGAATGTATTTTTTTTCGTTTCTTTTTTGTTTTAATGATATAGCAATTAATAGTTGATAAAAATTCTAGGAGTGTTAGATTGGTGAATGAATTTACGAGAAAATTGACTTTTAAATTCTAATAATTAAATTTAAATGCAATAATATAATCGGTTAAATATAAAAAATAAAATAAATGATTCATGCAATATTACTAGTTTTTTAGTTGAACCCTCTCGCTTTTTACCTTGAAAGGTGAAGAGGTATCACTAGGTATAGCCCTCGGTGATATCTAATTGCATGTTTATTCATCCCTAAGTATTTGTCTAATTTTTACACTCTACCAGTGAAGTTTTGGATAGCGTCCTTTGATTTTTCTAAATTTACAAGAACTTTTTCAACCCGAAAAAAAATTAAAAAAAATAAAAAAGAAGAAGAAGAACGACTTGATCGAGTTTGGTTTCCAAAAACTACACTTTTAAGAGTTTCTTTTTCAATTTTCAATTTTCAATTCATTGAGTTAGCTATTTCATTTGAATTCAATACCTTTAAAGTTTTTCCAGTTTATAACTTAAAAAGACACCACATTGGAGCAATCATGCCGTATGCTTCCGAGTATTTTAACTTCTACTTCTAGTTCATCCATCTTTTTCTCTACTAATTTAAAAAAAAAAAAATAAAAAATAAAAAATAAAAAATTTTCATTCTATCCTTGTGGAAGTTGAATTTTCCTTTTGAATAACAAAAAAAAAAAAATAATAATTCTAGTGTTAGGTTAGAAGTTAGAACATATAGGTTCATCAATAAAAGCAATGAGATTTAAAAGTTCTAAATCATATTATTTACTGTGTTACTTTTATAATTCATAAGTTCATTCATAAAAATTGGAGGAATATTACCCAGGCTATGATCAGTAGAGCATATCTTGAGTTAGATTGGTGAATAAAAACTAATAATTGATTTTTAAATTAATAATTATATTTAGAGGCAACAATATGTATCAAATAATTAGAGAGAGCATAATTTAATAGATCATGTAACTGCACAAGAACACGCTTTTTATTTGCAAAACTCTTAATGGAAAAAATCAAAGGACCTAGACTGGGCAAACTAAAAATCCACTATGAGACGGAACAAATATACACACACAAAACACAAATATATTTCGGTCCTAAGTAGACTTGACCCTCTAACGTCCATCATAGAAGATAGAGAAGATATCACTAAACTATAACCTTTGATCAACAGCAAAGACATGGCCTCAGCAATAATATAGTTTTAGAAGCATCGACAAGTGTTAGTAGTTCGACAGGGAACAAATGATAGGTAACTAAAACATACATTCATTTGACAAACCCTAAGGAAGGAAAAAAAAGGTAGAAACATCTAAGATGACACTAAAAATTTGTACCTGATCAACTACAAGTTCTTAGTTCCGACATTAGAAAATGAGAGAGCCCTAGCATATGAAAAAGAAAACACAGAAAACAATGATTACAGAACAATTGAAAAGTTGATGCAATAAAAAACAGGGCTTCATTAAGACTGCATTGGCAACATTGGGACAGAGTTGATTTCATGACCATGCACTCTCAAGCGATATATGCAAGTATGAGAAGGGCTTCCATGGTTAGATGTAAAATCGAGCCTGATCATATTAACACTGCCAGAGCCTGCCGAGTCCAACACGTCAAATGTCTGAGCATTACTCTTCTCAAGATCATATGTAAACTCAGTCAAAAGAAACATCCTGTTGGTATCAACTTCTGGATCATGCCCTTGCAGCCATCCAGAGATCCTACAGTCCTTGGGAGCGCTTGATCTATCGTAAGCGACGCTCTGTTCAAGTTGAAAGTCAAAATGCATATTTTAGTCAACAGAGATATTTGGATATGCAGAATCTACATAATTGAAACAAAAAAAGAACCAAAACATATGCATATAACTAGTAGAGCGACGCTCTGTTCAAGTTGCAAGCCGAATTCTTATTTTAGTCAACAGAGATATTTGGTGATGCAGATCTATACAATTGAAACCAAAAGGAACCAAAACTATGCACATAACTGGTAGAGTGGCAGTACAGTTGGCATTTCAATATAATGCAAAGTGGCAATTGCCAGTATTGGGGTCTTACACCAGTGCCACAGTGGCTAAAATAGGTTTTCACCCAAGGTCCGCAAAAGTGGCTATGATGTGATAGTATCGTATGTAGCAGTGAAAAATAAAAAATAAAAAAGAACTGGAAGGCATGGCATGTAGTTATCTCAGAAAATGGTAAATTCCACCAAAATTTTCACATAGAAAACACAAAGAAATCAATGCCTGTACTCCATAAATCTGTAATGAATGACCAAAAGAGTCTTCAGCAATTTCTCGACTCCATAAATCTGTAATGAATGACCAAAAGGACCAAGGCATTGACGTGAACCTGTGAGTAGCAACACCCTCCACAGGCAACTGGAACCTGAATACAGGCACTTAATATTGTCATTGTGCATCAATGCTCAGTTTGAAGACCAACCATGCAACTCGTAGGGTGCTCAAACCTCTTCACAAATTCACAATCAAAACCCTCTGTTAAGTGTATACAATCGATATGCTTCTGATACGTCATTGTGGCATGTTCAATTAGGCCCAGAGGGAGTGAATAGGTCTTATGGATATTAATTCACAAATAACTTTTCGAATTACCATTAATCTTTAGTTTGAAAATTAGTTAATTAGTGAATCACATGCGTTAATTGCAACCACACAAACACATAAAGCAATAACTAAAATAAATCAAAGACTATATTTTTTACGTGAATCTCTACAAGGAAAAAACCCACGGCAAATCAAAATCCACTGTATAGGAGACTCTAGCCCTAGAATCACTAGTCCCTCCCGATTGAGTCTTACACAAGATCTCCTCAAAAACTCGCTCTTCAAGCAATTTGCTTCTCCATGGACTTCTAATCTCCACAACTAGAGGCGTGTGATCAGCTTGTTCTTTGCAAACCACCCAGTTGATACTCCGTTCGACAATTTCAATTCTGCTCCTTCCCTTAATTCTTTCAATCAGAAATTGTATGGTAGTCTATGAAGAACCTTAGATTGATTATCAAAGCTTTCCCTCTCTAAAAATATAAATTCTCTCATATATAGAGAGTAGAAGCTGTAGTCTATGAAGAACCTTACATTGATTATCAAAGCTTTCCCTCTCTAAAAATATAAATTCTCATATATAGAGTAGAAGCTCCCGTAAGAGATGAGCTAAAATAACTACAACCCCATACTCATAACCAATATAGGAGACCCAAGTAGTATGATAAATAAAATCCTTTGAGGATTTTAATTTCAAATAGTTTCCATAAAAGTGTGACCGCATGATTCGATCAATCCATAAAAGTGTGTCTGCATGATAGCTTCGATAGGTTGATGCATCAAACAAAGCATTCTAGATTTCAAAACATTTTTCTGCTAAAATCTTGATTTTCAATCAATGCACTATTTTATAAAAATTTCTGTTCTAAATCATTTTATTAAAAATTCAAATTTTGATGAACACGATTAAAATATAAATTTGAGCCTTCTGAAAATGAAGATCATACCTTGGTTATAATTGGTCTTTATGGTCTTAATTTATCTTTAAATGAACGAAGCCAAACCAAAAAACAATCTTCGGGTTGTTAGCACTTGGTCCAGAGTCGAATGGTGTCTGGGCTCTACTTGGCTCGAGCTTGAGCAAAACTGACGTACTTATGCTTGGGGCAGTTCAACTTGAGCTCATTTAGATATATGTATATTCCTTCCCCCTCCTTGTTTGGTTGAGCGGAAAGGAGCAAAAAAAGGTGACACCTTCCATTGTCTGGTAAGAGTGAAGGGAATGGGAGGTTTTACATGTTTTCTACCATTATACCCTCATATAATTTGGTAAAAGTTTATGAAGAGTGAAAATGTCAGTTTACATAATATAAAATACTTATTCTCTTTCCCTCCTCTCTTCCGTCCAATTTTGGATGGATGGAAAATGGTAGGCCATGAGTGATGCCTCATCCATCCATCGCACCCTTCCCACCAACCCTCCTTTGTACTAGACAATGGATCTCTTCCCTCCCTCTCCCTTCCTTCCCTCCTATCAAATCAGATGCAAAAGTGAGCTCCAGCTCAACTCATCTTCTATTCGACGACTTTGCAACTAGGACAAGTACAAACTTTTGACCAGCTAAGTTTGTTTATCACCCTTAAGAAAACCGTTGAACCATGGTTTAGCATGTCTTACAAGTGTAAGATTATATTCATAAATAGAACTTGCAAGTAGACCTAAGGAACTTAAAGCTCTTGGTGGAGTAACATGATTACAAGGTTTGGTAACTGTTGCGATGCCAAATCATATGCCACTCACACCTATCAAAAATAATTATAAAAAAAAAAATGCCACTCACAAATTGAGTGCATGCGTGCATATTGTGGGGGAGAAAATATGTTATCAAACATAAATACTAACCGACCGGTATAGGTTAAAGGTTGCATTAGTTCAGATGCATCTGCAGGCGCTGTTTCTTTTTATTTATTAATGGCAGGCTTGGCAGCAATCAGCTCTATCCAGGCATCCTTTTGAGGAATGTCACAAGACCTTGCTCGCATTATATAGGAACAATGAGTAGGTTTAATCCAGAATATCCATCCGTATGTATTTAAGATAACATTACCTCAAAATTCTATCATCTTTCTTATCAAGGCTAATACTTTAGCAGTTTCATTTTGAGGTGAAGACTGATGTTCTTCTCACTATAAAACAGGAGATTCCCAAGGTTTCCTCAAGGAGAGTTGTGCTGCAGAGCCCAGAGAGGAATGACATATAAATTTATTATGGAATGCAGACCACAGGTACGTAAGAAGCTGAGATGATCAGAATAACAGCTTTAGTAGTTTCAAGCCTTTCCGCAAGAGAGAAGCCAAGTGTATCACTTTAGTAGTTTCAAGCCTTTCCATAAAAAAACCAAGATGATAAAAGAATCGCTTAAACTTCATGATACATAGGAGCTTAGACGCTTATAAGTTTCAATCTTTGGTAATTTGGGCAAACGTTATTTCAGGCAACTCATGCGGAAAGTTTGTACAAAAGGCACTCATATTACTGCCTCATCCTTGTCATTGTGGTGTGGGAGCGGATTTTATTGTTGAAGTTGGCATTGAAGATGACTTTAGGTATCCATTAGCAATTCTCTTCTATTTCCTGATAGCCCACTGATCTTTTGCAGGATGTTTGAGAATTTGGTTATAGAAACAACTAGTAGGGCTTCCATTGGGCTGCTTCTGAAAGATTTTTTTTTTTTTGATAAGTAGGCTGCTTTTGAAAGTTTTTATTTGGATAAAAATTGTTTAATTGTTCCTAGGTGACCCATTCTTTCAATACTTCTTCGAACTCGGCCATACGGCATAGAAAAGGTGGTGAGGCCTTCCAATTACACTGATGTTATTAGATTAAGTCTGCTAGACAATTCTTATCAGTCCTTCAAGGACAAAAAAGGCATAGATGAGAGCTTCAAACTACTGCAATCACTAAGATCGATAAATGAGTTGATATCTTCTGCGAGGTTACCTAAGAATCTCTTAAAGACAGATTTGACAAGGTCTCTTCAGCTTTATACGCATGATACTCTAAGATCATGTACATGCAAGTAATTAACATATTTTAATAGGTCTTCATTACTTTTCCAAGTCTATCTGATAAGATACAAAGTGGTGACCTGATCTACAACATAGAAGATTTTAACATGAACTTTAAAACTGCTCTGGTGAATGTTATATGTGGATTCTAGGTCAATACCGTGTATGTGCATCCTCGGGAAAAGACTAAACAATTAGTAAATGTGAAGGTTCTCATTAGTCACATGTGGTTCAATTCGTTTGATGAAGTGAGCCATGTACATGCAAAAATTCTCTATTTGTATGAATTTCAAAGTAACCCTCAAGACAGTTTAATACTCACCATCTTGATCAGGAAAAAGACTAAACAATTAATCAAATGTGAAGGTTCTCATTATTCACAGTGGTTCAATTGGTTCGACTTAGTGAGCCATGCACATGCAAAAATTCCCTATTGGTGATCAAAACTTGTGAATTTCAAAGTAACCCTCAAGATAGTATAATACTCTCCAAATAAGACAATATTTTAAACCTCTCTTGTTTAATGAGGACCTTAACTTCATTAAATGTAACAAAGTCTGCTGGAGTCTGGCTGACAAGATGGTACACCTATTAGAGTGTGTGATGCGGCTAGGTGACAGGAATAGCAGCATGCGTTTGTCAAAAAGGTAAAAACTGTTGTTGGCCTGCTCTACACTCTGAACCCTTCATTCAGTAGCACAACAGGTGACAGAACGCAGTTGTCCATGAGGTAGGAGAGTCCCTCTATTAATAGGAGGATGATAAAACACAAAAGAGCAGAGTTTCACTGATACTAGCTGGCAAAAACACTTCATTTCTGCATGTCAATCTAAGAAATGGAGAAAATCTATCCCCTGTTTTTTATAAAGAAAAAGCAAAGAATTTGATTTGAAGCCTAAAGAATATTTATTCAGAACTACTAAGGAATACAGATCAGTGAGTGTACTCTCACCTCCTGATATTCTCATCAGATCATCTTATATTTCCTTTCCAAAATTTGATTAGCACCATGCAAGTCCTCAAGGGCCAGAACACTTACATTGAGCCAATTCACTTTAAAATCAACAATCATCTGCTACCCCACTACTTTTTCACTAAGAAGATGTCTCTTCCACGGGAGGACAAAATTTCAATCACCCTCAACATCCATTAGTTAAGGGTCATTAAAAACATTTTTTTCTAAACTAATCAATTTTTTAATAGCTTAAAGATGCAGGGGGGTGATCTTTTTAGTTCTTTACCAGTTCAACACGGTGAGTTTAACCATTGCAGAGAAGTTACAAATGTAGACTATACACAATTACAAGTTCAATGTACACTGTGCTAATTCACTCAGCAAATGCATACTCCAAAAAGTTATTTAAGCTATTTTTTTTTTCCTTGCATAACATACACATGAAACACAAATGACATATCATCTATGAAGCACAGGTCCGACACGGACACGTGTCTAGCACTCCCAAACCACATCCTGCTTTTTTCTAATATATCGACACAGCCGGTCACAGATTAGACATGCCGGAAACTTATCAGACATGCCACCGGAAGGAAAGAAGATGAAGAGGAAGCAAGAGAGGAAGAAGATAAAGAGGGAGCCAAACCCATATGGAAAACATCGGTTGTGGGTATCATATATTATGCTATATAGTGTATACATATATTGATTTGATGTGTTTATATATATATTTGTTTTACTTATCAAAAAAAATATATATATTTGTTTTCTAATGGAATTTGGACGGTTCATGTGGGGGCACCTAATCTAAATGAGTCATATTTATAAATATATATAAGAAATTGAGTAAAAGTTTATTTTTTTTATATATATAATAAAAATTAGAAGACTAGTTTATTGCCGTGTCCGTGTCCTATTTTTTTAAAAAAATTGTCGTATCGCCGTGTCCTCGTATTGTCGTACCCGTGTCCATGTCCATGCTTCATTGCATATCATGATGAACAATAAATAAAAAACATTTTTTTTACCCTTCTTTTGGGCATCACTATAAAAGCTGACCATGTAATGATGATGCTAGAGCTTCATTACAGCAAAAAAATATACAAGTATATAAATAAATCGATAAATAAATAAATAAAACAAAAAAGCCTCCTAAATGCATTCTAGAAGGAACTGAAACATCATTCAAAAATTAACCATTATGATATATCATCTTTTGCAGACTGAAAAAACCCAAAATAATAGTAGTTTTGTACATTACACTTTCTTTAATAATTGCAGGTGCAACTGGGGTACTAAAAAACGCCATCCCATGTTACATAACTCGTACATTCATGCTTAATGCATACTTCTCTATTTCGGCTTTCCTTTTTTGGGTTAGGGCAGTGGGAACATATAAAGAACAGAATTATAAAGTAAACTGAGAAGCACAATTCAGAACAAGAGAATTCCTTCCAAATATAGATTGGGATTAAAAATAAATAAATAAAGAACACTTTTTTTCAACATTGAAGAAAGTTAAAACAAAATCAAGATGGGTAATAATCCCTTTCAAAGAAACAGAAAATTACAAGGATCCTATGCTACCAAAAAAAGTCAGCCTTTTTAGTTAGCTTCTCTTAAAAATTAACTAGAAATCTACATAAAACACAGTTTTAGATAGACTGGGATAAAAAAAAGAACCATTTTTTCCAACACTGAAGAAAATGAAAACAAAATCAAGGTGGGTAATAATCTTTTTTTTTTTTTTTGATAAATAAAAAATCAAGATGGGTAATAATCCCTTTCAAACCTATATATGCACATGGAAATTATAAGAGCGTCGAAAACATCTAGCATGTGCAAAAAAAAAAAAAAAAAAAAAAAAAATCCACATAATACTCACTCCACATACAGCCACTTTGCTTATTTAAACTATAGATAGTTTGAACACTATCATTACAAAAGTTAGCCACTAGTCACTTCAGAATTAAGCATCAAAATAAAACTAGGGTAAAGTACACTAACACTCCTTGAGGTTCGCCAAAAGGACACATAGATAAAATTTAGCCTATTTTGAGACAATGACACCCCCTCAAGTTTCATATAGTTACCAAAGACACCCCAATGGTAATGAATTAACATTTTTACCTTTGACATTTATATTGACCCATTTAAATATTGAAATTACCTTTCTAACCTTACTAACCCATTTCTTTCCTTCTCTCCTCTCTCTCTGTTTTCTCTTCCTTCATCCTTCCATTTTTTCTTTTTTTATGTAATACACACACACACACACACACACATATATATATACAGATACATACATATATATGTATCCACACACACTTGGCGGCGACGTAAATTGGGAGAGTTTGTTTATCTCTTATTTTTTCTGTTTGTTGTTTTTCTCTGGTTCGTTTTCTTCTTTGCCCATATATATATATATATAATAACCGTGTATATGCGTGAACGTTGAGAGGAAATATCCGAGAAATTTCTATATATTTATTATTAATTGTTCAAGCAGAAAAGTCATGTAGCCATTGACTTAGCCAAAGCCAAAATATTCCAGAAATTTCAATCTATTAATTCTGAGGCACCTCAAACAATTGAGATATATATGTATCTGTATATACAGATACATACATACATACATATATATATATATCCATCATCCTTATTTAATCATCCTTTTGCAGTAAGATTGAAATTGGATCATACTCATACTTAAAAAAAAGACCCTAAATTGGATGAAAAATGCAGAGTGGTATTACTCATGATACAGGGAATACTATGTCAAATTGACATCAAATTGAACCTTTCGAGAATGAAAATTGGGAGCATATGCTTCCTGCTCGTAAGATGCGGCGTGTATTGAACTTGATGATTTGACCTTTCAAGGGCGGTGAAGCTCTTTTTCCGACGTGCTCCTGCGTAGCCAGAAGCTATGTGCAGCCAGACCGACAGGAGGGCGGCGAGGAGATCAGGGGAGATGAGTCAATTTGTGGCTGTGAGGGCAATTTAGTCTTTTTACTATGTCTGATATTTTATAATAAATTGATTTTAATATTAAGGGGTAATTTCGTCTTTTCAGAAGATTTAAGGTCTTGTTTGGTTGGAATTTCAAAAAGGGGGTGTCATTGTCCCAAAATAGGCTAAGTTTCATCTGTGTGTCCTTTTGGCAAACCTCAGGGGGTGTTAGTGTACTTTACCCAAAAAACTATTATATTACTAAAACATGTAAGTTGAACACATATGCCCTTCAATTAAACTTTTGATTCCACTCGCATAACCAATTTACTGAAAGCATCCAGCAGAATTAGAAGATTTTTTTTTTTGATAAGTAGAATCAGAAGATTTCATATTTCTACAATCTCTCTTACTATGAAAAACAGCATTAAAAAACTTTCCTTTACTACTTTCTAGACAGAAAACTAGAAAAAATAAAAAATCTCCATTTCAACTATACAAATAGTTAACTCGCATAATCACATATACAATATTTGCTGTTACAATTTCCATCTCCTAGTCATGCAAAGTCAATATGTATTATGAACTCTTACATTTAAACGTTTCAGTTCTTTATTTCACTCTTTCTTATTTTCTACAAGGTTTTGTTCAAAATATGACACATTAAGTTGTCGATTAATCAATACTTCAAGACCCCAACAAACATCTTACTGGTAAGCAGCAAAACTTTCATGCAGTGAGATTAGTTCGTATTAGGCGAAGGCATCAAAAGTTTCAAAAAAAGGAAGAAAGGACATTATGTCCTCAGTAAGTTGGACGGTACAACCACGTTTGAAGCACTACAATGAAAAGATCTTAATTCTAAGTTTTTAAGTTTTACGTTCGTTTTCTTGATTTTAGTTGCAATCAGATGATATAGTAAGAATCATCCACAAATGAAGCAAAACTTCCAAATTACTCAACTTTAACCAATGGTAACATGGCTAAGATTTGGATGTGAATAAAATGACAGTGGTTGTGACAGCAAGGTAAGTAGCTAACTTCAATGATAATTTGAAGTAAGGTAGAAGCATATCAATTAGAGTTTAAATCAGAATGATTCCAGCAGAGTTGACTAAAATTAAACAGACTAGGACAATTGAGAGTTTAGGCCTAGCATCTAATATACAAAATCTATCCACAATATATAGGATGCAAGTATATACTTTGTGAAATGCATATTAGCAAATAGGAGAAACAGAAACATCACCTTGGCAACATGTTCCAAAGTAATGGCCTCTGGAATGATGGCCGTCCTAAGCTTGATCTGAACAAAACCAGTGCTTCCTTTTAAGGGAAAACACTGACCAGGTTCTCCAAAACTCGGTCTAAGCATCTTCCCTGCATCCTTATGAACCCTGTTTCGACTACTCGTGTAAAACCAACTACTTCCCTTCCCAACATTGTACGGCTCAGAATGCTCAGTAACAATAGCCCCACCAGAGGCCAATGCATAGTCTACCCTACCAAGCCCATCAGCAGCATGCTTTTCAATTTCTTTCTCAACTATCTCCCTCGCAAAAGCTCTTATCTCATCTAAGTTCACATCTCCATGGCTACTAGCTTTACCTTTCTTGAACTCGTTCAAGAATCTATCAAAATCTTCTTTCGACAACCATTCTGTTGCCCTCAACTCACCAATTTGCTTCTCCAAACTCTCAGTTCTACCATCCAATTTCTTCAAATCGATCGCCAATTCTGCACCTTTATCCTCAATTTTCTTACCCATTTCCCTTCTAAGAGATCCAACTTCGTTCTCGATCTTCCGATCCACAACCTCAACCTGAACCTGCATCATCTTCGTCGTAGTCTTCAAGAACGCCTCCACTTCCGCAATGCGGCCCTCGAATTCTGAAACCCCCGCGTAAGAAGGAACAGTAGGAGTAGTGGAATTAAGGGCCAATCTACGAATCATTTGAACCAACCCCAACAGTACGAGGAGGAGCAAGAAATTCTTGGTGAAGACGCTCATCACGGTCTGCCACCGGGTCTTCTCTGGCTTCGAGACGCCTTTGCGGGTGGTCCGACGAGGCAATGCGGTGGTGGAATTGGGCAAAGCTTTCTTGACCTGAACCATCTCTCGTGATCTCTGAAACACTGCATCTCCCCTGATTGACTGGCTGAGATCCTTGCTATTTCCACCACCACCGGAAAATTTATCGTCCTCGCCACCACCGGAGGCGGCGGCGGCGACTCCATCACCGGTCACCAATTCTATGCCCGACTTCTTCTCTCCGACCACCACGGGTCTCCGCCTCGCGGCCGGGTTGGCCGTGATTGAAACTGTTGAAGCTGACATCAATTCAATCCTTGGAGTGCTCCAACAAATTTGAATTTGAGAGTCACAGAATTCAAACAAACAAACAAAATTAGTTTCAAGAGACGTGTGGAAGAAATTATTATCCTTTCAATCGATTGGAGAAAAACCCTAGAAATATGTCACTTATTTACCCCAAAAAAACCCTAGAAATTTGTGCGTGTTGATATAAAGTTCCTCAAGATGAGAAAAGAAGTGAAGAGCCGTCGCTACGAGCGGTTTTGCATTTGAAACGATGCCTTTTTGCTTTTGAAAAAATGGAGATTTGGAGTGATTTTTATTTTTTATTTTCTCAAAACCGAAAGGAGAGAGAAGAGAAAAGGAGAGAACAGAGAAGACGGTGGACAAATAGGCCCAAACGTTGATTACAAAACAGCAGTGTTTGGCCCATTTTCTAGAGAATGGGCCACACTGTTGCAACTTCTGGGATCCATGATAAAGAGAAGTTGATAGAATTTTATGTAATTTAAGAATTTTGATTGGAGTGGATTATGAAAATGGGCCACACTATATACTTGCTAGAGAACGGGCACACTATAAATTAAATGGGCCACACTATTTTATTATTTGATAGAGAATGGACTACACTATATACTTCATTCATTGGAGTGGATTCTGAAATGATAGAATTTTATGGAATTTAAGATTTTTTTTTCTTAAATTTTTGTTACAATGATGGTGTCCGACCTCTTAAAGTATCAAATAATCATGTGGTCCTTCTATACTACATGCACGGGATAATTATCATAAACTATAAGAAGATTTGAACTCCATGCGTGAGAGTTTACCATTATTAGACCAATAAAATAAGAAATAATTATTATTCTTATTGTGTGTGTATACAGGGATAGATCTAAAAATTCATATTAGGGGGGAAAATTTATATAGAGGGGTTTTTTCATAATTTCAGTGGGGGCAATCAAAATTTTATGGCTATAAATGCAAAAATGTACAAATTTAGGGGTGTAAAATGCAATAATAAAAAAATTCAGTGGGGCGGATGCCCCCACTGAGCCCACAGTACATCCATGCGCTTGTATATATATATTGTCATAATCATTAAAATTTTGATTGCCATAATCATTAAATGATGTGGGAATTTTTTTTGATTCAAAGCAAGTGTAATAGAACTTTTGTAATGGGACGGGTGTTCTGTGATTTGACCCAAAAACTTAAGTTATTTGGTGGGGCTAACACACAACCTATATATACCCATTCACTTTTTCATTAGGATTCGATGCGGGACAACTCCCTACTTGTAACATTCTCTCTCATCCGAACTCGCAACGCCATGCCGAGGACTGTAACATTCTCCCACTTGTAACATTCTCCGCTTACCGAGATGGCACAACTGGACACATCCATGCCGAGGACTGTGTCTAGCTATAATACCAACTACAATGGGCCAATTGTTTATTAGGTAGGACTTACACCCAACCCATATATACCCATCCACTTTTTATCCGGATGCGATGTGGGACAAGTCCCCTACTTAGAACAACTTTCTTCAAAGAGTTAAACATCCTAAGAAGACTGTACTGTTTGTTCTTTTTTTTTTCTTTTTCTTTTTTCGTAGTTGATACTCACACGCCCCCCTTAAGGAATGGTTTGGACCGAAGTGAAAAATTACTAAATACGGCCATAAGAAGATTTGAACTCCATGAAGTAAGAGTTACCACCATTAGACTACCCCTTAGAGTTACAAAATTTTAGAATTAGGTTATGTTAGTTTTGTAAGTCAAATGAAATTGAGAAAGAAATAAATGAAGGAACCAATAAACTAAGAAATGATAATTATTCTTATTGTGTATGTATTTATATATATATATATATTGTTGGGAAACGTGCAAGTTTTTAAAACTTTTGAGGGATTTGCAATCACGGATCTTGATTCATCACACAGAGACAAGTTTTATGCAAAGATAAATAAAAGATGATGCATAATTCAATAAACAGATTGAATACTTACATCAAAGGTTTGAGTAAACCTTTTGAACTTTCCTCTAAAGTGAATGTTCTCACTTATTGTAGATCCCTTTAGCAAGATCTTTTCTCCTTCCGTTAGATTATTATCTTCCCTTTAGGAATCACCAATATGCCTTGATGAATGACCTTGGAATCTAGGCTGGTGGTAGCCTCATTTAGAAGAGAAAACAAAACCCTAAAATCTAGAGAGAGAAAGTGTATTCCTTTTTCTTGTCCTCCAAGTCACACTTAAAATATACATGAACTCATGTATATATAGGCAAAATAAAAATAAGAATAAGGAAACAATAAATCATTCTCCATCTCTAATTCAACTTTCTCAATCCTAACATGACTCCAATATCAACTTGGGCTATTGGTGAGAATCCTTTTGGGCTTACTATTTTCTTGGCTCCTATAAATTAATAATTGGTCCGGTCCATTAAACCATGGACCCAATTCAATTAATTCATAAATTAATTTCTACTCCACTAAAAGAAATTAATTGCACTCCAATTAAATAGTAAATAATCTCTAAGTCAATGTTGCATTTTGACCCCTCTATGCTTAATTATTTATCGGATAATTAAAGCCATCAATCCGACAACATAATTAATATAACTATTTTGTTACCTTTGATTATTTCCGGCTCGATCACAATAAAATATTTATTTGACAAAAATAATAATAATTTATTAAATAAATATATATAGAAAACATTTGTCTAAAACATACGAAGGCCTTCGAATTTAATTTGTGATCAACCATAATCAAAACAAAATAAATACAAATAGCACTGATGCAAATATTGAGAATATAGACCTCTAATTATTAATTACATAACTACTCAAAATGTCGATCTAAGGATCCCGAGGTATCCGCCGAACAAATCAAAGTAATTATTAATTAATAAAAGAGTCTATACTTCTCTCATGCTTGAGAGTCAAAAGCCATGACTGTGATAGAGAGCAATTGCATACGACAGCTCTCGCAATATATCTCAATCTATCGTGGACTCGGTTTAAGTCTTAACTAATTAAATGTCCATCCATAATTACCGACTTTAAACCATTTATGATTACTAATTTATATCATAATATTAATTGCCATTACATACATATATAAATATATTTTGTAATCAAGCAGACACCATCAATTCCATAAAGAATCGAAAAATAATACATTTCATTCACCAATTGTATAATGCTTTAATAATAATATCCAAATAAGAAACCATGACTTTTACCATCCAAAATTAGAATTTGCTATGCTAGGGCACACATATCCTAACAGCTCCCACTTGCACTTATAGCCAATTCAAATCACATCTAACTCCCATGTTCTCCATATGACGATCAAACATCTTGATCGGTAAAGCCTTTGTGAATGGATCAGCAATGTTATGTTCCGATGCAATCTTAGCCACAAGTATATCTCCTCGCTTTACTATATCACGAACCACATGATGTTTCCTCTGAATGTGTCTTGTTCTTTTATGAAATTTTGGGTCCTTGGTTTGGGCTATAGCTGCACTATTGTCGCAATGAAGCGGTATAGGACGATCTATATGCTCCACAACCTCCAGTTCAATTAGAAAGTTTCTCAACCAAACAGCTTCTTTTGCTGCCTCAGAGGCTGCAATGTATTTTGCTTCCATGGTTGAGTCAGCAGTACAACCCTGCTTGACACTCTTCCAACTAACTGCCCCTCCATTGAACTTAAACACATATCCAGATGTAGATCTCCTGGCATCTGGATCTGATTGAAAATCAAAATCCGTATATCCGACTGGAACCAGATCATCACCTCCATAAATGAGCATTAGATTCTTAGTTCTTCTAAGGTATTTTAAGATATTCTTCACAGCTGACCAATGATCAAGTCCAGGATTGGACTGATATCTACTGACAATCCCTACAGAGTAGCAGATGTCCGGTCTGGTACAGACCATGGCATACATGAGACTACCAACTGCCGAAGCGTATGGTACCCGCCTCATTTGCTCAATTTCCTTATCAGTCTTGGGAGACTGGTCATTAGAAAGAGCCAACCCATGTCTAAATGGCAAAAACCCTTTCTTAGAGTTTTCCATTCCAAACCTGATCAGAACTTTGTCAATGTAAGACTCTTGAGACAAGCCTATTTTCTTTTTAACCCGATCTCGCATAAGCTTGATCCCAAGAATATAGCTTGCTTCTCCAAGATCTTTCATCTCAAATTTATTGAACAACCACCTTTTAACTGATGACAATGCTTCTACATCATTACCAATGAGCAAGATGACATCAACATATAAAACGAGAATCATGATGACATTACCCTGTTTTTTCTTGTAAACGCAAGGTTCAAACACATTTTGTTTAAAGCTAAATAATTTGACTGCCTGATCAAAACAAATGTTCCATGTGCGTGAAGCTTGCTTAAGTCCATAAATAGACCTATTCAACTTACATACACAATCCTCACGACCTTTAACTACGAAACCGTCTGGTTGCCTCATGTAGATGTCTTGTTCAAGATGGCCATTTAAAAATGCCGTCTTAACATCCATCTGCCATATCTCATAGTCATAATAAGCACTAATGGCCAAAAGAATGCGAATAGATTTAAGCATTGCAACTGGTGAGAATGTATCCTCATAATCAATACCTTCACGTTGAGTGAAGCCTTTGGCAACCAGTCTAGCTTTGAATGTCTCAACATTCCCATCCATTCCTCTCTTTCGTTTGTAGATCCACTTACAACCAATGGGTTGAACCCCACTAGGAAGTTCTATAACATCCCAGACTTTGTTAGAATACATCGATTCCAACTCTGATTTCATGGCATCTTTCCAACGATTCGCATCTATATCGGTCAATGCTTCCGCATAGCTTACTGGGTCCGACTCATGCTTATCGGGGACAGCCTCATAGACCTCACCCAAAAGTGTGAGTTTTTCGGGTTGGATGATAGTCCTCCCACTACGCCGAAGGACCGGTGCATGAATCGATGTACTAGATGATGGTAATTCAACAGGGACTTCTTGTGTCTCATCATTCTCAGTATTTATATTAGGTGTGTCCACTGGGGGTATATCTGACGTGCCAACCATCTCCTCTAACACTATCTGGCTACTAGGTTTGTAGTTCATAATATAATCCTCCTCCAGGTAAACAACATGAGTGCTGACAATAACTTTATTGTCCCTGGGATCATAAAATAATCCACCTCTAGTGCCCTTAGGATAGCCAACAAATAAGCATGCATCTGATCTTACTTCCAACTTGTCTGCCTGTTTCTTTCGCACGTGTGCTGGACACCCCCATATATGCATGTGATTTAAACTAGGTTTACGTCCAAACCACAGCTCATATGGCGTTCCTG